ATTTAAATGAAACTATCACCTACGCGTGTTTCTCTACGACGTGACTTTTTTAATAATATAACATACCAATACAATGGAAGGTACGCGAGACCTTTGTTATCGTTTATAAATTATACAGTATAATATATTCTATTTTTCCATGGAATTTGCGCAAAAAAAAATGTTGATGTGACGAAGTCGTACTAACTGCAACTTTATTATAACTCGTCTCTGTGGGTGTATTATACGAGATACGTATTACCTATATGGTATTAAATCTAGCGTAAACTCGCGGTGGCATCGGAGTAGGTATCGGACAAAAGTGTGTGCCGATATAAAAGCTTATAAATGAGGGTAGCTATAAAAAAATATATATACGAGTATATGATACCTAGAAAGGACAGGCTGTGTGGAAAGGTGATTTTTAAAGAGGATTAAAAGTAGCAAATGAAAAACAAAAAAACGTCGAAACTTACCCTCCAACAGGAGTTTGACGAGCCGAATCGGTGCCGGGGTCCCCGCTGTTGATAGCCGGAGGTTGTGCGGCCGCAAACATAGCCGCGGCCAACACGCAGCACGTGCCTACCACAAGTCGGACGATCGGCGTGCGCGTAATCATCATTCCGCCGAATTTCTAACCGTGTCCTGGGCGGCGCGTGGATATAATTCGCTCCTGAATTGCTCCGGGTGGTACAGCAAACACACGCACACCCGTCGCCGCTGTTATTGAGATATTATATTGTGTTAAGTCGTTATAAAATAGTATTGGTATAGTAACAATATGCTATGATGACGTCGAAATCGATACCTATAATTATTATTTCTGCGATTGCTGTCGAATACGTGTATACCGTATATTATATAATTATTTTATTTAATATCGGATGGTTAATAATATTATTATACGCTGCAATCACTGCGCCGCGACGCGATCAACGACGGATCCGACGGCCGCCCGTCAGCWKAGTCCTCATCGTCCTCGTACGTTTCGTTAGGATCGAATCGCTACGGCGGGCGTATTCGACGTCGGTATAATATTATTACGATAATATTTACTTGCTGATCTGCGAGTCTCTCGCGGATATGGCACGGTATCCGCGATGGCGTGGAGAGACTGAGAGAGATAAAAAAATTATACTAAAATATCATTACAACACAATATTTTGTCACGGGYGGAGGATAAAACAGATCGATTCGTGGGTACCGATCGAAACGGTTTTTGACGGTCCGTCCTTCACGGAAACGTACGGCGAAAATATTATTAAAAACTACAAACGACGACGTTTTATCGATCGGCACGAATCACGC